TAGTTCAAATAAGGCAGCATCCAGGTTTAAGGCTTCTGCAGTTCTAGTTCTTAAACTTTCAAAATGAATGATATTGCTGCAGAGGAAAGTGACCTAGAAAGAAACAAAAAAAGATGGAAATTATTTCCACAAAGAATCTAGTTGCAACTAAGAACATGAAAATGATCAGTTCATTCCAAATGTTTATTTAGGACTAGAATGTGGTTCTTCCTCCCCTTCATATTTCAAATATACAGGTGTACATCCCTTCGGGGATGTAACTTTCTAATAAATCTATTATTTTACCCTAAAAACAAAACAAATTGGAGGGGGAAAACTCACAAAAACGTGGCTCTTCTTGATAAATAAAGGTTTACCTTGTTTTATTGTACTTCACTATTCTGCAAATATTTCCGGGTTTTATTTAAAAAACAAAACAAAACAAAAACCAAACCCCACAACTTGAAGGCAAGTTTCTGGAAACCTTAGCCAAGGCAGGATTATAAGCACCATTTTCCCAGTAGCATGTGCTCACTCCGTCACACAGTTTGTAATTCTCAGAATATTTAAAATCTTTTCATAATGCTTTTGTACACATAATAAACTACAGTACCAGGCATCCACAACTTGATATGCACTGGGAAACACATGCTCAAGTGATTTGTTTTATCATAACACTCACTTTATTGCTACAGTTAAGAACTGAACACATATCTGATATATGCCTGCAGTTCAATTCCTAACAAAAGCTTAAATAAACATAATTTTTTATTTATTGTTGCTTTTGATAACAGTATTTGTTTATTATTATTATTAAAAATACTAATGCTTTAAGAGGTAATAAAAAGCAACTCATGTTCCAATGTTTTGTGGACTCGACTCTGATTAATACGCTCTGGGTTTAAACATCTTTTGAGACCCAACTATTTTGAAAAGCAGGTATTTCATAAAATCTTTGCTGTGTCAAGGCCAAGAAGCATTTTGGTGGCTTTTTTTCTCCCCCCTCAAAGGATCCCTTTTCAGGAAGCTGGTGTGATTTATTCAACTTTGAAGCTTAAAACACATTCATGAAATTATATCCATCAGGAAGCACTACAACCTTTTATATATAAGAAGCCACTTTGAAAAGAGTCTTAGTATTTAGCTGCAATTGCATTATGTCCAAATGTCACAAAACATTTCTTTCATACTAATTCCTTTTCTAAGTCTACACTTAACTTTACGATGAAGATCACAAAATACTGGCTAGGTATTTGATAATAAGCATCTTTGTAAAGATCCTAAGATTTTTTTTTTTTTAATTTTTTATTATTATTTGTGTGTGTGTGTACCGTCAAATCAGATCTGACTGGTACAGGAGGAGATTGTTCCTCCTTCTTCAGCAGAGCATCTGGTGGATTTGAACTGCACACCTCCGGGATTGCAGTGCAGCTTCTTGCCACTAGGCTACCAGAGCTCGCCAAGATCCTAAGATTTTTTTATGATAACACTGTTGTGAATCAATATTGGACTTAGCAATGATTTAAAAACTAGTGACGGATATATGTATCATCATATTAGTGTAGTTTTGTGCCTGTCTGAAAATTTCCTTGAGTTTTCCCTCTCTCATTTTTCTGGATTCACAAATTCCTGGCAGTGTACATATCATAGAACATTTTATTGCCCTGTGGGGAAAAAAATCTGAAATACCTTTTCAAACCTTTGTTGCAAATGAGGAAAACCTCAGACACTTATGAAATTTAAATTGCTGTTTCTTTCTCAGTACAGGCTTACGCCATTCGTTACTATTTCACTCAAAGGCAGTAAGGGCCTTGGGAGATACCAGCTGTGGCACAGCCTAAGGGAGGCTCCCCAATACCTATCAGTCCTTCCCCCTCCACAACCTGGTGCTCAAAGAACTCAAAGCTTTCAGTAACTTATCCCACAGGAAATTCCACATCAGTTCTATCGGTTAATGATTCTATCATTCTGTGACTGAATGTAAAAAAACAAAACCACAAGTTGAGTCACCATACCTGACTTGCTCTTTGGCTCTCTTTAAGGACAAGATTTCTTCTTTCGGCTATTGTGGCTTCAAAATCCTGGAGTACAGGAGCCAGAGCGGGATTGGCACCACCTGCCCACTTGAGTCGCTGCTCAATACTTGCTTCAAGTGCTGCTAGCTTCTCCTGGAAAAGAGTCAGGAGCATCTCAGTCAATGTTCAGCACACCATCCATGCTCCAGGCTGACGGCCTGGAGACTACAAAGGTTCAAGAGATGGACTATGAGGTATGAGTCATTTACGCTACTGTTATTCTCTCTTTTATCCTGCTCCATTTTTTGTGGGGTCGGAGTGCAGATCATGTATCAGCTAAAATGCTAATCTTTAACCAACCTTTTGAAATTTATTTTTATTTCACTTTGAATGAGTCTAATCAAGACTGGGAGGTAAGATCTGGTTTTCAGTTAATTAGCCTTAAATTTGCAGTTAAGTTTTATTTTACTTTTTTTAAGTCTTTAAAAAAACCAAACAAAAATTTTGCCATGACAGTGCTACTGCACCCTATGTGCTATCAACAAGAAAATACATTTATACTTTTGATTATGAAAGGTCAGGGAGCTCTGGTGACCTGGTAGCAAGAAGCTGCACAGCAATCTCAAAGGTGTGTGCGCGAATCCAACAGATGCTCTGCTGGAGAAGGAGGGACAATCTCCTCCTGTGCCAATCGGATCTGACTCGACGGTACACAACAACAAATTCTCATCTGATCATGAAAGGTGAAAAATCGTTAATTCCACAGATGTCGTTAAGTGCTAAAACCCCTCCAGTTTATAATAACAACATTTTTGTGCTATTAGCCAATATTTAGCAAAGAGAAATTCATGTTCTTCTATTGTGTCTCTCAGAAACAGAGAGAAGCATACACTACTTCCCTCTTAAAAAAATCACAAACGGTCAGAGTTCATCTTCCCAAATTAGAAAATATAAGATCTGTAACACCAGTAACACCAGGGAGGCACTCTCTCCTTAGACTATCCAATAACATCAAGTCAAAAGAGCAGCATGTGTCCAAGGATCAAACCCAGAATGTGGATAGAACAGGACAGAAGGATTAATGGCAATGAGAATTACAGGAAGGAGACAAGAAATGTGCAGTTATACTGGTACAAAACAGTATGTGTCTGATCGGGTGAATGAACTTGTTTTTGTAAACTTTCCAATAAAAATTAAAAAAAAACCTTAACAAACCTGCAAACATAGCTATTCTCTCATAGCCTATATAAAAAAGGTTATTTCTGTTTTGAAGGACATGAACTTCAAAAAAGTTTATTAATTTTAAGGTAGCACAGAAATAATGAACCTTAATTTTTCCACTAATGTTGTTATGTGCCATCGAGTCGCTTGCAGCCCTAAACTCTGTTCTGTCCTGTGCCAACTGCACTGTCTCTGACATAGGGCTCGCTATGAGTCGCAAGCAACTCGACGGCACATAACAACAACAAGGCCACCAGAGATCCCTAACTATACAACAAAGGTAAGAAATGCTGAATCTTCTTAGATATTATTCATAACAAGTCAAACAAACTGCACATAGGAGACATGGAGAGGTACACATTTCAAAAGATAGAGAAAATAATCAAAGTTCTTCTAATTATACAGGTTCCCTTGGTGTGCAAGGCAATGTAGTTACAAAATCTACTAAAAAGTCTCATGCATTTTTACTCCTGGTTTGATATACTGCTTCAAGACCCAACCTTGACAGTTAAGAATTATTAAGAAAAAAAAATACTTAAAAATAAAAGTGAGGGGGGGAGCTTCTTTGATTTAGAAGCCAAGGACAAACATGTAAATTATTTTTTTTTTAATTTTATTTTATTATTTTCTGTGTGTGTACCATCAAATTGGATCTGACTGGTACAGGAGGAGATGGCCCCTCCTTCTCCGGCAGAGCATCTAGTGGATTTGAACCTCATATCTCTGGGATAGCAGTGCAGCTTCTTGCCACTAGGCCACCAGAGCTCCCCTGTAAATTATTTTTAAAAAATAAAATGTCCAAGAATATGATGCAGTAAAACATACCTGAACTGATGCAATCGAAGTTTCAATCTGGCTCAGAGTGTGGAGTTTCTTTTTCATGCTGGTTAGGATAGCAGAACGAGGTGGAGGTGTGACTGACATGGCCTGTGGTCGGTTGATTAGGAGATCTTCATGCTGCCACTGCAAAGTGGGGAAAAAAACTTGGCAGAATAAAACCTCTAGATAAATCAGGGAAAGGAGATGTGAGTTCATTAAGGGCAGTGGCGGTGGACTGAGGGGACAAACAACCAGCATCAACAATGGGGATGGGTTCAAAGAGTAATAAATACAAGATGAAGCTCAAGTACTTTTCCCAGGCTGTAAATCGCACAAGAGAAGTCTGCCCATCTTTTCCCCCTTGAGACATTGGTAGATCAGAATTGCCAGAGAAGCACTGCCTTTGGGCTAGCAGTGTAACCAACTCCCAGTGGACTAAGATGTCAGAACTCCCTTGAAAGAGCAAAAGCAGCAGCAATATGAAAGAATCACAATCAGGTAAGAAATTTCCTGAAATAAAGAACAGCTGATACATTTCTAGACACAGCGATATACAGTATTTAACAGTAATACTGAAGATATTTCCAGTCCTTAGGAAAATCCAGTACACACACTCCCCCATAAGTCTGCCTTACGAATAATCTCTAGTTAAGAAGCTGGAAATCGGAGGGGTAACGAAGAGGGTATGTCCAGCAGGGAGTTGTTCAGTGGGCCAATCAGGTTACTGATGACTGCGGAACAGACTATACCCGTGACGACACAGGGAATTAGCAGACGACATTGGTACATGCTGTCAATACATCCAAGCAAGGCCTAGAGCCAATAGGGAAGAAAGTTATGTCCACTTTTTAACCATAAAAAGGTTTTGCCCCTAGGTGGACAGATGAGGGTAGTAACAAGCCAACAGGTGACCTTACTGGGCTCCTAGCTCCTCTGAGGCCTGGGGTTCAAAGCTGCTATGAGGTGGTGGGAAAGGAGTAAAGAAAGGCCTGGAGGATGATGTTCGGAAGAAATGCATGCAAATTTCTTGATAATCCAAAGGATCTGAACTGGGCCTGACTGAAGCCCTAAAACCAAGAGACCTGCCAGGTCAGGAAGCAGAGCAGGACTTGGACAGTGAATGAAGATTTGCAGGGGTGAGAGTGGAGCCTTGGAGGCGGCTCTGTGAAGAAAGTTCTGATCCAGCACAGCAGGAAGGAGAAGTGGTTAAATCCTGGGCCCTCTAATCACATAACTCTCCACTTCCACAAACGGATAATCTTCCTAACTAGACTCAGCAAATCAGTAAAGTTTGCTGTTGGTGTCATGTGCATTGCTGTCAGAACCGACCCATAGCTGACCCTCCAGTGGGTTTTCCAGGGCAGTTTACTGCATGGGAGAAGACTGTCCACCCTTCTCCCATAGAGCTGCTGGTGGATTTGAACTGGGTTTATTTGAGATTTCACCACAGCTTCTTACTACTAGAGCACCAGAGCAGTTTAGCTGTTATTATTTCTTATGATTTTCTAAATTTAAGGGGGGAAAAATTCAACAAATGAAAACAAGGGAGAAAATAATCTTCCATTTTCAGGGAACAATTAAACTGGTCTCTGGAAGCTAACTACGTTGATAAGAGTAGGTAGGTGTATAATAAATGCAATTTTAGAAGTTTAGCTCAATTACCCGTTTTTGCTCATGAGCTAAAGAGTACAGCTACTGATAAAAGAAAAATGCTGGTTTCATGCACCGAGCGGCAACTGCCAACACCAAAAATAGGAAGCACTTTTTGGCTCCTTAAATATTACCCCTTGCGTTAAAACCTGAAGTTACTGACTATATTGACGCTTACATCTGACAAAGAAAAACATTTCTATTGTGCAAGAAGATTGTACAAAGGTCATCCCAGCTTGTCCTTAGAGTCATCATCCTTATTATCTTCCTACAGAAAAGCAAATCAAACCTTAGGAAACTGAACTCACGTTCAGACGCCTGATTTAAATCCAAATGCATCTCACCTCTGAGCCTCTTCTGTCTTAAAAACAAACTCTGAGTCAATTCTAATTCAGTGATCTCTAAATACTCAAGTAAAAAAGCAAAGTTCTAAAACCAATTCTAAGATGAACTCATCACACCATTAAAATAACAGGGAGTCAGAACTCACTTCAGAAAGAAACTTAATTAAAATTTCAGCAGTCCAGAAAGCATATCAACACAATAAACTCAAAAATCACTGTCATCAATGACTCATTGAAACCCTCTGTTGGGTTTCTGAGGCTGTAAATCACAACTACAATCTCCCGTTTACTTAGTGAAATACAGGAAGAAGAATGCTGCAGGATTGAAGAACACTCATCCAGAAAGCTACATTATGCAGACAGAGGACACTAACTTGCTTGCAAAAAGTAAAGCTGGCTTGAAGCACTTACTAAAGATGATCAAAGACTACAGCCTTCAATATGGACTGCAACTCAGTATCAAGAAAACAAAAATCCTCACCATGACACCCAACAGCCAACTTTATAATAGAGAAAGAGAAGACTCAAGTCTTCAATGATTAATTTTACTTGGATCCAGGTAACACCCATGTAAGCAGCAGTTAAGAAATCAAAAGACATGCTGCATTGGAGAAATCACTGTCAAGGACCTCCTTAAAGTATGAAAAAACAAAGATGAGAGTTTTAAGAGTAAGAAGTGCTTAATCCAACGCTTGGTAATTTCAATTCTTTCCTATGCATCTGAAAGTTGGAAAATGAACAAAGTTATAAATGATCAAAACACAGAACCATGTAAAAGGGGAAAAACAAGTAAATGGATAAAAAGCACCAAAGTACGAAACATGAGCAGGTACTTTAAACATTTTGCCCTCTTTGTTGTTTTATTTTAAATATCTTCCGTTTCCCCAATTTCACACACTGAGGAAAATGCACTATAAAGAAAAGCACCTACCTGAAACATGGCTATATGCAGCTGGACGCGCTGCAGGCTTGTCTTACAGGAAGAGATGCTGGTTTCCAGCCTGCGCACCAGGTCGTGCTTCTTCCAGGCAGTGTCGTAAGAGCTTGCCAACACCGTTGCCCTATTCATCACCAGCTGAGAGAACTTGCCAACCTGGATGTTGTGCTCCACAGCTTTCTTACACAGGTCGTCCACAGAAACTTTGCTTTCAGCACCGAAGTCCTTTGCTTCTACTTGGGCAATAATGTCTACTCCCAGAGCACTAATGAAACTGCAGAGTGTGAGCCCAAGGGCTTGGTTTGGTAGACCAATTAAGAGCTGCCTCACAAAGTCAGCTGTAAAGGCCTTGATAGGCTTGGCCATTTGGTCTTCACTAAAACAAGAGTTTCTAAACAGGGTTTTCACATTGACAATCTGTACAGGTCCATTTACAGTATTTTGATCTTCTAGTGAGCTTGATCCTAAGTAGAGGAAAAATGTTTTTTAAAGTATTTCATACAAAATAAAAATAAAGTTACAATACTGCTCACTGAAAAAGTATAGCTTTGACCTACAACCAGGAGAGGATAAACGAGATGAATGGGACCTTCTAAAAATCAAATCTCTATGCACATCCAAAAACTTCTCCAAAAGGATAAAAAGGGAATAAATAATTGGTAATGACATGTCTGATAAGGGACTTATATCTAGAATTTATAAAATACTCGAGGCACCACAAAAAAAAAAATAAAGAAAAATAACCCAACTGAAAAATAGGCACAGGATATGAACAGACACTTCACCAAGAAGACATTCAGATGGGGAACAAACACATGAAGAAATGTTTAAAATCCCTAGCTCAAAGAGAGATGCAAATCAAAACAACTGTGAGATATCAACTCACCCCAGTAAGAATAATAAGATTTGACAGAACAACAAACAACAAATGCTGGAGAGGTTGCTAAGAAACTAGAACCCTTATTCACTGTTGGTAGGAATGTAAAATGATGCAACCACTATGGAAGGCAGTATGGTGCTTTCTCAAAGTTGGAAATAGAAATACTATTTGACCCAGCAATTCCACTACTGGGAATATACCCTAAAGAAACCAGAACTGCCACCCAAGCAAATATATGCTCACTCATGTTTACTGAGGCTTTGTTCACAATAGCAAACAGCTGGAAACAATCCCAAGTGTACATTAACAAACGAATGGATAGAGAAGCTCTGATATATTCACACAATGGAATACTATGCAGCATTGAAAAACAAGGAAGGAACTCATGAAATATTCTACAAAATAGGTGACCTTATGCTGAGTAAAATATCTCAGCCACAAAGGGACAAATACTGCATACTGCCACTGTTGTAAAGTGGAACTGACATTGGTCTTGGGGGAAATTAAGAGGGGATAAATAATGTATACTGCATTGAAACAGATGAGGGAGAGAACTATTTAGGAGGAATATATGATTAAGTATTAGTGTCATGACAAGAGTCCAGAATGAAAGCTGCATCATGGAGTGGACTGGGGTTAGGGGGTGGATTATATAACAATGAAAGAAATTTTTTTTTTTTTTTTTTTTTTCTTTTCAAAGATAAAAGCGAACTGGAGGCGAGGGGCAGGCAGGGAGGAAGTGTGCAACAATGAATGGAAATCCAGTGTCTGTAAATTTTCATTAAAATAAATTAAAAAAAAGAAAAAAAGAAAGAGTACAGCTTTGAAAGCCAGAACATGTTTAAGTCTTCCAGAAGCCTGCAGAGAAGAAAAATGCAGTGACAGAAAAGCAGTAAGACCACATACACCCTTGTCAAGGGCAGAAAACCTGAGGCCTGGGAACACAAGGCAGTACCATCAACTTCTGGCTCTCAGAGGCTTCACTGCACGAATATTAAGCCTACTCCACTCTGCCACCTTCCAAAGTGCTAGGTAACTAAATTCAGCATGTTTAAATAGGAATTATTACCTGACAGTGTTTTGGAAAAAGTACCACAGAGTCTGAAGAATTCCTTAATTGTCTGTAGTCTTTTTAGAAAGAAAATCTCTTCCAGCACCTGCCGATGATTATCATCATCAAAAAAATTGACCTGAGTGCTTCTGGCTTCCCTTATGATGTCAATCTTTCGCCATGCTATAGGAATCTCCATCTTGTTTAACTGCGTAAGTAAAAGAAAGTTTACTAACCATTCTGCACATAATAAACTACCACACTTGCATTATCCATAGCAAGCAAATATTTACCTTTTCAACTAATAAGCCAAAAGCAGTTTCAACTTGGGCAAACATGCCATCAAATGCCACCAAGAGCATCTGGCCGGCTGACATTTTCGGTGTTTCATCAACGGAGCCATTTCTTGGTTGGATTAATTCACCATACTGAGCATGCAGTATTCTGGGGGCAAAAACAATGAGATCAAAACTCTCACTGAGAAGTAATGTATTTTGAGAGAGAAAGAAAAAAAAATATCTATACATCTCAAAGCAGGAGTTTAAATTTTAGGAAGTTTTCTGACATTAATGCAGAAGAGTCATGCTAGATGGTATTTTAATGTCAAACACATGTAAAGCCAACAGTACAAGATCAGTATCTGCAATTATGTATTTGATTACATTTTACGCAAATCAATTTTTAAAAGCACAACATAAATTATTAAAGCCTCATTTGACCCAAAGAATGTAAAATAATAAGAACTTTCAATACTAATACTGTCAAACACAATTTGAAAGCTTGTGAAAGCCTAGGAAACTGCCAAGTATGTTCACAGTCCTAACACACGGTAAGCCAATGAAATCTGCCATATTCGTCAAGGTCCATTTTAAAGTTTGTCCACCGTAAACGTCAAGTAGGTCCACTGTAAATGTACAGTCTGTCACTGTAAACAATATGCCATAAATACAAACTTCTTCAGAAATGCCACTTCACAGTATCATTAACACAAGGTTTACACTGTTCATTTACCCAGGTGCAATTCTAAATATGTAACATTAACAGAACATGTAACATAAGCAAAAACACAGCTGTTCAGTTCCTATCCTACACTTACTAACCGCAAAACTAACTCTAACTAGCATTTTAACTTTATCATACACACACCAAAAAAATAATTTCAAATAGCGATGGAACCTTTAGTAGAATAAAGAAGATAAGCCAACAGAGAAATCTGTAAAACATAAAAGTTGGTTAAAATTTTCCTTGACTTAAAAGTAAGTTGGTTGGTTGTTTTTTTAACAAGTCACAAATAAGCAGATGAGGGATAAAACTGCCCCTTTGAGTACAAATTAAAGTAACTGTTCTTAGACCGACAGTAGGGGAAGTCTGGATGAGCAGTTGCTCTTAGGTGCCAGAGAGTTGAGTTTAGGCTCAGAGTGATCTGGTGTCAGAGAACAGAATGGCCCCACCGTGTGTGTTTACTATGCTGTCATTTCTCCAGGGTCGGTCTTCCTCCAATGGAGTTGCCAGACAGATGTGAACCACTAACTTCCCAACCCTCGTTAGCAGCTAAGATCAATTGTTGCACACCCAATTGTTCAAGTTTATAATTAGGTATGTAGATTTGGCACTTAATTTTTGTAAGGTCTCAAGTGCTCAGAAAATGAGAGGTTTAGAGTCTAATTATGGATATAATGAGTATCCACAGAAATTGCCCTTCTACAGGTTCAGCTTTAGAAGCCTCACTCTATTATGTGTATACAACTATCTCACTAAAACAAAGCACGTAACATGAGATAAAACTGCACAGAACTATACAAATGCTGGCAGGCTTTGGTGCTAGAACTCTAGGGTGCTCTGTGGTAAGAAACTGCACTGCAATCCTAAAGCCATGTGATTCGAATCCACCAGCTGCTCCACAGAAGAAGGATGGACAATCTCCTCCTGTGTGATTTACTGTCTCTCAAAACCTGCTGGAGGGTCAGCTATGAGTCAGTCCCAATGGCACAGTATACACCACCACACTCTACACCCAAGTGTATATATGTGATGAGCCCTGTATACTGTACCCTGACAATTTCGATGTTGTTACAGTACTACAGTCAGGTAAGATGCTAACATCGGAGAAGGAGGAAGGGTGCACGAGACTTCCTCATATAACTTCCTCGAAATCTGTATTTATTTCAAAAGTTTGGGGTTTTTTTTTAAAAAAAAAACACCAACAAAACCACTATGTGTAACCATTTACATCTCTGCAGTAAAAGAGGCTAAGAATTTTGTTATCTGTTCTCTTTAGCAAAGAAACAGAAGAAAACTAGAATCACTTGCCTGGCAACATCAATGTAATGAGCGTGTGTTTCTTCTTCCAGGCCCATAGCTGTGTTTCTTAGATAGGCTTGGAGAGACTCAACCAGAGTCTGTAGGGGAACGCCATCAGTCGTCTGCTCAATAAGACTGTCCAGTTCATGAAGCATACTTTCTAATGTGTATTCCCCTTTCATTAAACATCTGAGGGCTTCTGGAAATATGATTTGCCGGAAATTTGAGTTCAACTCCT